GGCGCATTAGTCAGTCCAAAAGGCATCACTAAAAATTCATAGTGACCGTAGCGAGTCCTGAATGCTGTTTTTGCTACGTCCTCAGGCTTAATCTTTAACTGATGGTACCCTGACCTTAAATCAATCTTGGAAAAATATTGAGCTCCTTGAAGTTGATCAAATAGATCATCTATCCTTGGGAGTGGATACTTATTCTTAATGGTTAATTTATTCAACTCTATGTAATCTATATAGAGTTTCATACTCCCATCTTTCTTTTTCACAAATAAGACTGGTGCTCCCCATGGAGACACACTGGGTCTAATGATACTCCCATCTTTCTTTTTCACAAATAAGACTGGTGCTCCCCATGGAGACACACTGGGTCTAATGAATCTTTTATCCAATAACTCCTGAAGTTGTTCCTTTGGTTCCTTCATATCAACTGGCGCCAATCTATAAGGGGCTTTAGATATAGGAGTGGTCCCTGGGACCAAGTCTATGGCAAACTCTACCTCCCGATCTGGAGGCAATCCTGGTAAATCTTCTGGAAAGACATCTGGGTAATATCTTACAACAAGTATATCTGAAAGCTTTTTCTCATTCAATTGGTCACTTATCACACAAGCTAAATATCCACTACAACTTTGCCTCAACAATTTGTTAGTCTTCATAAATGAGATTAGGTGTGTGAGGGGTCTTCTACTTTCCCCTTGAAAAACAAAACTCACCTCCGCTTGTGGTTTAAATTTTACCAATTTTCTCAAACAGTCTACAGTAGCATGATGAGATGCTAACCAATCCATTCCTAGGATAACATCAAAATCTGACATGTCTAGGCATATAAGGTCTGCATTCATGACATGATCACTCACTAAAACTCCATAATTCTTATAAACATATGTTGCTAGGAGACTACCACCCATAGGTGTGGAGACAATTATCTCACTACTTAATACTGTCGGAGAATTAGGAAAGTTCCTAACAAAATGAGGGGATACAAAAGAGTGTGTAGATTCAGGGTCGAAAAGTGCATGAGCGGTGAATGAGCATATGAGAAGAGTACCTTCCACCCCAGATGGCGATGCTTGTGCATCCTTCCTTATCAGAGCGAAAACTCTTCCTTGGTTCCTCCGGTTTTGCTGCACACTCTGGTTGGACTGAGCCTTCTGCTGTGAAGCACTTGATTGTTGTGAGGCATTAGTTCGAACTGCACGATTTCCTCCTGGTGCTCGCTCTATTATCGGTTGATTCCTCAAGGTTGGACAATCTCTCTTGAAATGCCCAGGTTGACTACACTCGTAACATATACGGTGAAGTCTGCAATATCTAGAGTGATGATTTCCACATCTGGGGCAGACTGCTGACTTGTTTGGCTGGTTCGTTCGATCACGACGAAAGGGAAATTTTGTTGTTGATGACCTCCCGGGATGATTCGATGCTGACTTGTCAGTTATGGGACCTCCTTCGGTTCGTGGGCGTTTAGCTGAATTCTGCTTCTTATTGCGGATCTCCTAATACTCTAGTTGGACTTTCTCAATTTCAAACGCAGTCTCGACCAGTTCTGCATAGTTCCTGATCCTGAGAGCCACTAGTTTTCCTCTGATATTTTCCTGAGTCCTCTTTGAAACTTCTTGGCATTATCTGATTCTTCAGCAATCAGATGTGGAGCAAATCTTGATAGTTGAGTAAACTTAGCCTCATACTCCTGTACTGTCATGCTGTTTTGCTGCAACTCTTGAAATTCGATAACCCACTAATCCCTAACACCCTCCGGAATATATTTCTTAGTTATAACCTCCACAAATCTATCCCAATCAATCTGTCTTTGCGCAACCCTTTCTAATCTTAAGGTTGCCCTCCACCAATGTTCAGCTTTCCCTTGAACATGAAGGCGGCAAATGACACATTTTGCTCCTCTGTGCAATTTAAGACTATAAATATCTTTTCCATTTATAAAATCCAATCCTCCGCCACCAAAGGGTTAGTGGTACCCGAAAAAGATGGAGGTGTGAGCTTCCGAAATTGTTCTAGAGCTGAGATAGCGGGTGTTGGTTAGTTGCTGTTGGCCTCTTTGTTTTGATGATGTTTAACAAATAATTTACTACTAATGTTGTTTGTCTAGTGGTTGTGATTTTCTATTTATTGTAGATAAACAACGCGTTGGAGGATGGATAGAATTGCGCATTCAACGATCAAATCCAATGGAGGTTGGCGGAATTGTGGAGTGAAGCCTATGCAATTCAAGATCAAGATTCAAGTTCAAGCTTCATCCGCAAGTGTACCAAGATAGAGCTTCGTTGAAGATCACAAGCTTGAGTAAATTTAGTTTTAGGTTTTATATTATGTGTGTTAGTACTTTAAGCTCAATCATATACACACACATACACGCTTTGGTTTCGTATATATATAGTTATATATATACATATATGTTTTGGTTTAATAGTTTTCAAGTTTTACTATGAAACAAGTGAATATAATTGAAAATACATTTCGTGTTTCATACTTATATGCATATATATGATTTTATCAATATCAATTTTATTTAGTTCAATGAAATCATGTTTTAGTGCATTATATGTGTATTTTGATAAAATACTATATTCATTGTTTATAGACTTCATAACAATAGTTTACATCTTTCTTCAGGTCTATAAAATCATTTTGTATTGTTTCAAAACATGATTAAGCTAAAATGTCAAAACTCATATGTTCATATTTTCATGTTTTGGACTATTTTGCAAAATAATGATATTTTTCATTTGGGAGATCCTTTCTGAAACCTAGTTTTTGTAGCTTGTGTATTATCATGTGTATAATCATTTCCCAAAGTTTCATAATTTTTAGAATTTATTTGATATTTTTTAAACAGGGTTTCAAAATCAGAAAACAGTTTTCAAACCTGTATTTTCATGTATCAATTCGCGGTCGACCGCCACGGTCGACCGCGCCTATGTTTTTCCCTCAGGAGCCAGCAGAAACTTTCGCGGTCGACCGTGACGGTCGACCGTCAGTCCTTAAGTTTCCACGGTCGACCGCCACGGTCGACCGTAGCTTTCTCTGGAAGTTTTCTCAGGTTTGGATATGCCTCACGGTCGATCGCGAGAATTTCATGGTCGACCGCCGCACTGTCTTTTCATACACCAATGGCTATTTCCTGCAGCTGTTGTTTGGGGTTTTTTGGTCTTTCGTTTGGGGTTTTTGGCTGAGGTTTTGGGAGGCTATAAATACCCCATTGATCTCAGTTCTCACATAACTAAGAGATTGCTTTAAAACAAGTTTAAAGAGTTTTAAACAAGGGTTTAAGTTTGATTTAAGTTTGTTTAAGAAGCTTTTAAGCATTTGGAAGTTTGAGTTTGTGAAATCAATTTCACAAGAGCTTGAGGAGGTCATCTATTGGTGTTTGGACATCCAACTATTCTCTCTCTACCTCTTGATCTATTGAGAAGTTTTCTATACTTTATTTCTAGCTTTACATCTATTTGTTTGATTATCATTTTATTAAAACTAGTTTTATATTGAGTTTAGTTGATTTGATTTCACTCATTGTTTACACACACCCACTTGAGCTTATTGTATTTTCATACATAGTATATTTGGGTTGGTGAGAGTTGTAACAATTGAGTGTGAGCTTTAATTGAGTTCTCATCTTGTATTAGAGAACAAGTCATTTGCTGTTATTGTGAGGTGTGGAGTGTAGACGTTGATCGGTGAACGTTGAAAACCGACATTGTGAGTGTTTGTGAATGTTGATCAGTGAGCATTGAAAACCGACATTGTGAGATGTAAACGTTATTTGGGTGATCGTAGAAAACCCGAATGTGATAGTGGATTTCTCCCCGGGAGTGGGGAGTGGAGACGTAGGACGAAAGGTCCGAACTCCGTAATCATTTGCTTGTGTTTGAGTTTGCTTTGGCGTTTCATTTGTGCTTAGTATTTGTTTGAGTTTGCTTTGGCGTTTCATTTGTGCTTAGTATTTATTCTTTCTTGTCGCCATAGTCTATTGCCCTATCACATTTGTAGATTGTTGTTTCATTTGTGCTTAGTATTTATTCTTTCTTGTCGCCATAGTCTATTGCCCTATCACATTTGTAGATTGTTTATTTCACCCTAGTGTTAGTTTATATATCCTTACATATATTTCACTATATATCTTATTGCTAGGATATTGCTCTTTGTTCATATTGCTTATTCTTGCTTGTAACATATTGTATATCCATCTTGCAAGAATAATTTGTTAATTAGTTTTAATTGGTATAAAATCAGATTAGATTAGCATAAGACCCTAATCACCCCCCTCTAGGGTCTAACAGTTGCCTCTAGGATTGATACGCTACTCGAGGATCTCCGACAATCGTTCTAATGGATCTTGCATTGGTTCTACTTGAGCACATGCCGTTTGCGCATTCCTTGTTATTCCGATAGGAACAAAAGATCCTTCTTCCAAATTCTCCATGTGTTGTCCTTCCCATCTGGGGTCTGATTTGCTCTTGTTCTCACCATTATATATATATAATATATATATATATATATATATATAACTATATATATATATATATTATATATATATAGTATATATATATATTTAATATATATATATATATATATATATATATATATTATATATAAAGGGACGTCACAACACCTAGAGTAATGATCTCTCCAAAAGCTTTTTCACTGATATAATATTAACATACACATATTCATCAATTCAAGAGTTCTACAAAAGTATAATAATCTATATCTAAGATATAGATGAAAGTATGCAATCCCAAAATACACCACACTTAGGTGTCCACCCAAAAGCCAAAAGTAATAAGATTCCTAAGGTTAATGACCCAATGGGTCAACCTCTAGGAAGAGGTGGAAGAGCTGCTAGAAGTAGACTCTGTATTGGAGTCCTCAATTGGCTGGGGTTCATCACCATCTAGGCTAATCTCCTCTTGCTCATCGTCCTCAATAGGATCCTCTACCATTGGCTCATCCTCCCATGCCCAATCCTCCTCACCCAAGTCGAGCTCTCATCCAAGTGGAATTCCCTCTAGTATCCCACCAAGTAGAGGCTCTTGCATAACCTCAAATTCCCACTCCATGGGCTCCTCCTCTGGATCCTCATCCTCCATAGGGTTTTCCTCCGGCTCCTCCTCCTCGAGATCCTCCTCTATAGGGTCCTCCTCGGGGTCCTCCTCCTCAGGATCCTCCTCCATGGGTTCCTCCTCCTCAGGGTCCTCCTCCTCAGGGTCCTCCTCTTTAGGGTCCTCACTCTCAAGCTCGTAACTCTTCGCCAATTGCCCATGGGTGTGATGGCCAAGCAGAGAGTAATCCACTCTCTCCCTAAATGTCTCATCTGGATCAGTCTCCTCAGAGCTGATCTCCCAATCATCTGAATGTGTTGACCACACCTCCCCGCTGCTAATGGATCCTTCCATCCCAGAAACATTTGAATCAAAATCTGTCATTCCTTCCAAAAGTTATCTATCATCATCCAAGGGTACAAACCAATCTAATAGAAGTCTAGATATTATAAGAATGTCAGGGAAAGATAATCTTTCCATGACTGGTGTTTGACACCGACTCGAATCATCCTTAAGTCCCCTAGGTATTTTATGTATGACTCTTAAGGTATCAACCTGTGCTCTGATACTACTTTATAACGCCCCTCAGTAAGGTACATAAAAATTTAGGCATGACCTATCTGTAATAAGAATGGTCGACCTGCTAAATCTTTATGCACATCATAATATAGATATATTGAAGGGTGAAAAATAAGATAGTGGAGATGCATATGCAATACTCAGGATCATGAGGATGACAGCAGAGTCTATAGAATACCAAAATAGAAGAACACTAAAGGGAACTACAAAATATTACCATAATAGCAATGGCTACAACATTAGTACAGGTTTTATAAGTCAAAAATACTACAAGAGTGAACATAAATTAACTCCTACTAAGAGTTTCCTCCAGAGCTAATCTTCAACTTCAGGGTCTGCAATCCTCTTATCCTTGCTAGTAGTATGACCTGTGAGTGGATTCAAAAATAATAGGGGTGAGCCTAAGGCCCAATAGGTAACCATAAAAATCTCGGGTACAACACAAGGGAACGAATGAAAATGATAGACATAGATATCAAACTTGAAAAAATGGATCTCAACATTAAGTTGCCATTCTTATATCGCTATCATTGACCGAAATGAAATAACATGTAAAGATAAATAATCAAGGTCTAATATTCAGGATTCCAAACTCCCCAATCAAGGTCTATTTATAACAGTCGTCAAGCTGTTAAATCGGTACAGGATTCTAGGAGAGAATCCCAACCATTTTTAGAAATGCTAGCTATCTTTAGCGTTAATGGGTAAATGTCTTTTGGACTTTAAACCTTAATGCAGAGTTCATCCATGCGTTCAAATTACTAAATGCTAGGCCCAAACCTGCGTCATGAGAGTTCTTAACTCTGCGTTTCGAATTTCAAACGCAAAGGTCACCTTTGCGTTGCAATTATTCTAAACAAAGGATCCATCCTTGTATTTTCAAACATGATGCTTATTCTCTAAGATCGTGAATTCTTTCCACAGAGTGTTATTAAACCTCTATATCATCTCAACAGAATCTAAATTGTTTCAATTGACAAAACTCTCGATAATCATCAGCCCTCACAGAGTTTGAATTTAACTTGCATCACTCCCAATGTGATGACAATTCCTCTGTTAAAATCAACTTATTGATTCTCGTCAATAGAACGATAAATCTCCAAAATCACTCAAATCATGATCAATTTACTAACTCTCCCCAACAGAGTAGTAAGTAACCAATTTATCAACCCTCTTTAACAGAGTGATAAAATTTCCAAACCTTACTCAGATTGTGAATACCAAAATTTGTTGTCTTTTCACAAGTATCACAAGTCACCGCTCTGATGATAAACCACTTGGGAATTCTTCCCAGTGAGACGCTAAGTCCCCCGAAATCTTATTCAACATTTTTCCTGTCATGTTAATATCACACCTCTGACAAATCCACTTATCGACTCTCTTCAATAGAGCGATAGGTCCTCAAAATTGCCCCGATCGTAACATTTTTCCTGTCATGTTAATATTACACCTCTGGCAAATCCACTTATCGACTCTCCTCAATAGAGCGATAGGTCCTTAAAATTGTCCCGATCGCAACATTTTTCATGTCATGTTAATATCACACCTCTGACAAATCCACTTATCGACTCTCCTCAATAGAACGATAAGTCCTCAAAATTACCCTGATCGTAATATTTTTCCTGTCATGTTAATATCACACCTCTGACAAATCCACTTATCGACTCTCCTCAATAGAACGATAGGTCCTCAAAATTGCCTCGATCGCAATATTTTTCCTATCATGTTAATATCACACCTCTGACAAATCCACCTATCGACTCTCCTCAATAGAGCGATAGGTCCTTAAAATTGCCCCGATCGTAACTTTTTTCCTATCATGTTAATATCACACCTCTGACAAATTCACTTATCGACTCTCCTCAATAGAGCGATAGGTCCTCAAAATTATCCCGATCGCAATATTCTTCCTGTTACGTTAACATCATACCTCTAACAGTTTAAATCCCCTTAGTTGAACATTTTTATTCCTCTATATAAGAATAACAAGTGTTCTCACAAAATCCCCAGGGGGTCAAACTCTTTCTAGAATTATTCCTAGCAGTAACAAAGAAAATTGTTAAACTTCACACCATGTGAAAAGTCATGCCAAGTTAATACCACACATCTGGCACTTATGGATTTCTTTCAGTGATTAAAGTAGAAACATAACACAGGAAGAATTCTATTGAACCATCCTATCCTAAGAGAATGACAAGTACTTACCTCCGGCACGTGAAAATTTTCTGGAAGTATCTCAAATGATAATAAAGAGAATTTTCTAAATCTGGCATTCCCCATGTAACTTCATTATTGTAAGTCAGAACACAACACGTGCAATAAATAAGGAAAAGCCAAAATCATTTTATTTTATTTTTTTTCAGAAATATTAAGAAGTTATGAAAAGCCTTGTTCTTATCAAACAAAAAGAGCAATACATAATTAAGCCTCCGGGCCCATAAAATTAAAAGATGCGAGCCGGGACTTGATAGCAGAAAGTTTTTCTTCATGAGCGGCTTGTACCGTTATTTCATCTTTCTTCTTGAGTTCATGCTCATCCGGCATCGTCGTGGCAGCTTCCTTTTAGGCAAATTCAAGAGATTGGATCGATGAGCGATACGTGGCGTAAGTCTTCACGCTTTCAACTGTGATCCTTTTCAGGATTTCTTCCTCTCGACCAAGCTCAGCCTTGTGTCAGGCCAATTCCACCTCTAATCGATCGATCTCCGCCCGAGACGTCTGTATAGCAGTGTTAGAAGCAACCACGGCCTATTGCTTCTGAACACATTGCCCCTGCAAGAATGCAATTTCAAGTTCCTTTTCAGCTACATTTTTTTGAAGAACTTCATACTTGTGAGCTGCTTCAGCCTTGAAATCAGCCAAGGTTGATGTAATCTGAGTAGTAAGATCGGTACAGCGAAGTTCCTCTAAAGCTTTCAAGTCCTTTTCTAATCAAGAGATATTGTCTGAACAGTACCGAAACCATTGAGCGTTGTCCACATATTGGATGCTGCTCAGAGAGTTCACGAGTATCGGCCTGAAAGAATCAAATGAAGCTCATCCAGCACTAACTTCCTCAATCGTCATCTTCATCATGTCCTCCAATTGCCTCATAAGAATTTTAAGCATGGAAGGAATGATCACCGGACTTAGAGAAGCAACAGAGGACATCACCGTTCCAACGAGACAAGACGGTCGGATCGTCAACGGAGAGCAAATTCGACGCAAGTATTCGAAGGAGGCACTCCATCGCTACCGTGAAGAACCCAGAATTAAACAAAGGGGAGAATCCAGATCATTCTCTTCTCTTTTGTAATCGGGAATTCAAATTGTAATTAAGATCGAGAGAATACAAATCAAATTTCTTTCATTTTACTTACTTTAAATTTTTTACCAAACAAGGATCCAGGTCTAGCAAACCAGATTCTTAGGATGAGGATCATCAGAGACAGATCAGCATGGAGGCTGAGGTTGTCTCAGAAGACCTACATTGAGAAAATTCTTGAAAAGTTTGGCATGGAGAAAGCTATGTTAGACCCTAGAGGGGGATGATTAGGGTCTTATGCTAATCTAATCCGATTTAAATGCCAATTAAAACTTATTAACAAGTTATCCTAGCAAGTATGAGATATAACAAAAATATATGAGCTAGGATAAGCAATGTAAACAATGAAGAGATATATCCTATATGATGAATATGTATATATGCAAGGATATATAAACAACACAAGGGTAAAATAAACAATCTACACAAGTGATAGGGTAATATGATGAGCAATACACAAAGGCGATATAAGATATGAAAACAAGAATAAGAACGCCAATGCAATCACAAACACACGATATGATCACGGAGTTCGGACCTTCCGTCCTACGTCTCCGCTCCCCACTCCCGGGGAGAATTCCACTATCACAACCGGGTTTTCTACGTTCACCCGAATAACGTTTACACCTCACAGTATCGGTTTTCAACGCTCACCGATCAACGTCACTCCTCACAATCGGTTTTCTAGTTCACCGAAAACTTTCACACCACACTCGGTTTCTAGCTCACCGAAAACCTAACAATCTCACAATGTAACAAATATAAATTGTTCTCTAATATGGATGAGAACACAATAAAAGCTCACACTCAATGCTACAACTCTCACAACCCTAATATATTATGAATGCAAATACAATAAGCTCAAAGTGGGTGTGTGTAACAATGAGTGAAATCAAATCTAAACTCAATATAAAACTAGCTTTAATAGAATTGATAATTAACAAATAACAAATGAAAGCTAGAGTAGAGTTTAGAAAACTTCTCAATGGAAGACAAGATGGAGGGATGGAGATTGGAGCCCAAACAAAAAGATGATCTCCTCCACTTGTGAAAACTTCTTCACAAGCAAAACAAACCCTTAAACACACTTAAACCCTTGTCTAAAACTTGTTTAAAAACTTCTTAGATTTCCTTGAGAGTTGAAGACAATGGGGTATTTATACCCTCTCACAACTCAGCCAAAAACCCCAAGCAAAAAGACAAAACAGCCCCAAGGCAACGGTCAAAAAACTAGCAGAGAGCAAAAGCACGAAGAAGAGTTCTGGACCTTCGTCGGTCGACCGGTGCGGTCAACCGATGGAGTTTTTCGGTCGACCGCCGGGCCCCCCCGCCAGACTCTCTGTCGCCCAGTGAACATATGAACTCAGGTTCGGTCGATCGGTGCGGTCGACCGAATACTGATACTTCTGAAAAACAGTTTTGAAAGCTGTACATCTGATTTGAAACACTGTTTAAAAATAACAAATAAATTCCAAAAAATATAAAACTTTGGGGAATATTC